TATCCAGATAGAGACACGTAAAGAAGACCACAACGACGAAAATTTGATGTGCACAAGCAACAAAGATGACCACATTAGCAAATAATATCTCCTCATTACAGAAAGAGGTCTTCAGTATTTCTTCAAATTTTCAATCCATGCTTGACTGTGATCACAAAAGGAATGAATCAGAAATGATTTCCTTTCTTTGTTGATGTTGAGTAGATCGTATATACACAATGAACGATTCATTTGTATTTTAAAGTCGCAAATAATCCAAGCAGCTTCGGTTTCGTCTTTACTGTAAACATACAACGCGACCCTCGCCCAAGCTTACCACTCATCGACTAATAGTCACCCACGTTTGCATTCCAATTCTTGATCTTGTCGTTGTGCACCGAAAGCTGGGAAAGGAGGTGCTTCATTCTCACAAGGTAATACAATATAAGACAATCGCCACGTCGAGAAATAAGACCGCGAACCCTGTTTTCTATATTATATGTAGGTGTTTTATTCAGAGCTTTGCTTGCTGATACGAGTGGGTAGGTAGGTGATGCTTGGAACAACTTCAGCTATGTTACCTTTTGCCCTTTACCAACTCTTCGTCCTTCTATTCATCCCGAGGTGGTGGCTGGCAAATACGAAACGGAGTCTTCGGAACCGCGACACGGAGACATCAATCTCCCAGCAAGGGCTGACAAGAACACTCCTCGACATCAAACATAACTCTTAATTTAGACCAGCACCCAGATATGCATTATTTCGGTTTTTTCCAGTTGAGATCCGAAAATCGTTTTACTTCCTAACCTTCTTGGATGCCGTTGAGAAGACTGAATTTCAAACGGAACCACCTGCTGGTCTATTAAACAGAAACATGTGAGATCAAGAAAACATCACCTTTTCCCTTTCTACATGGGTATCTATAGTGTCACATTACACTGTTTGTCTCTGTGTTTTTTGCATGATTCACCGTTCCTACCCAGTTGTATATTTCACTTGGAATCAATTTGCAGCAAAAATGGAGTTTATACTTCTCTTTTCAAATACCCTCTTCACAACCATTGTTTTAAACATGTCTAATTCTTCTTTTATCCTCCTATGTGTTCTGGTACAAATTTTCACAATTAAGTTTTTATAACTCCACCTTGTATTATTTGAAATTCCTTTATAGCAGGTATGAAGCAACTGTCTTATTTCATTTCACATCAATCTGCACTTATAATTTTTTTTTAATTTCTCAGTTTTCTCGTGTAGTTTAGGAAGAATCCTACCTATAATTTAATGGACGTTGCTAAAATAGTACTTTCTTTGATCCTGTTACCAATGTTGTGTGGTGTTTCTAAAATCTTTATTGATTTTCTAATTATTTCGTTCGTGATCATTGTCCCTTTATTTAATTCATACTGATTGAAATCGATTCCAGAATTTTTAAATAATTGTCTCGATCTTAGCTGTTCAACGTTCCGACACTCTCATTGTCTTGTAGTTCAATTCCTTCCATTGTTTTACATTTTCTTTTGAGCGTCATCAGAATTGCATATTTCTCAATTTCCAATTCTACATCGTTGTAATGGTTAAATATCCTAACTTATAATTTTTTAAAGTTTCTCCCATTACAATTTTGCAAGAAGTAATTAAGTTGCATCATTAACAGTAATGAGGATTGACAGGTGCCCTGGAAAATGTTTTTTTTTAATTGGCTTCATGTAGGATTTGTCCTTCTGAATTTATTTCTCTTTCATATTTTAAAGGACTTCTTGATTCCACGAGGTATTTGTGTAATCTATGAACTTGTCATTTGTATATGGAAGTGAATCACTTGAACCAGAAACCATGAATTACATTGAACCAGAACTATATGCACGGTGAGGGACTTGCGGTTCCCAGCTTTATTTATTTAGGTAAATCTCTCTTTCATGTCTGTCTTCGATTTGATTTCAGTTGATTTTTACGGAGGTTAGCCAATCAGTCTTTCTTTTCTCTTATTTTCCTGTGCTACTATCAACTAATCTCTTAAGGTCGAATTTATTTTTGCTTTTTCATTACTGTTTCTTTATTTTAATTTTCTAAAAGATACATTATTCCGAAATATTCTATACTTCCGCATGTTATGGCGGTCTCTTTAAGCCAATCTTCCTAAGAACAGATATTTGGATTCTTGTCTTCTATCGTTGATGCTGTTTTATATTTCATCATGACGTTTGTTTTTCTAATTTTGTCCTTACTTTTAATAACTTTGCTTCGCTACGTAGATTTTTAATTCTTTAATCTCATCTTATATATGCTTTTATATATTTGTTGTTTTTGAATTGATTCTTCTCTTTATTTTAACCTAAATACACTTACTTCTACATTTATTTAGTGGTTCAATTTGCTGATATGGTCGGCTTATTTCAGGTAAATTTGTCTAAGACATTCTAAGTTCAACACAGGTGATTGGCATAACAGCTGCTGTAAACAGACGTCTTTTTCTCAGATATGCACAAAATAACTGGCAGCCTTACGAAAATAATTAAGAAAACTGTTATCTGTCGAGTCGGAGATCAATGAATGAAATGTCATATCGATCTGCGGCCAGTAGTTTTACTCTAGTGTCAAAACACTAAGTACATTCTTGGCTGTTAAATATCATGATTGATAATCAGTGATAATCAATATTTTCTAAGAGTTATAGCGAGATTCTAATTGAGTAAGGAAAACACTTATCTTAGCCAACGCGTTTCGTCCTCTGATGAACTCTATCAAGGTAAATGCAAGGATTTTATTTTGTAACATGTATTTATAACCAAAACTAAAATATGTATATGATAAAATATAGTTGTAAGGTATTCTATATTTATGGGTTAAAGTATCAGGGATAGATCGTATGTAAATATATATATATATATATATATATATATATATATATATATATATATATATATATTTATATAAATATATATATGATTTTAAAATTCTAGCTATTAAAGCTACCAAATAATATACGTAAAATAACATATACATTTCAAATTTCTGATAATAAATGCTTCATATTAGACTAGAGCGATAATTGTTATGAAATTACGAATATAATCGTTTAATGACTATCGAAAGCAATCTCATACTTTCGTAATTTTTTAATCAATCATTGAAGATCTCGCCAAAATAATTATATAGCTGTATACATGCATGTTCGAACAAAGAAAGATTAAATAAAAAGCTTAACCGTAGTACCTTGCTGTGGTTTCTAATGAAACATACATAAATGAACGATTTCTACCTAAATATATACAACTATATATATATATATATATATATATATATATATATATATATATATATATATATATATATATATATATATATATATACTTTTGTTGTCTTGTTGAATTGTATCACTCAATGTCGTCCATAATTTGCCTGGTTTTTCAGTTAAACTGATGAATATTCATAAGCAATTCTTTATTTAAATTTAAAAAAAAAACTATTATAATGTTCTTGTATATAAATACTTGTTACAAAATAAAATATTCTCATTTGTCTTGATCAACTCCCTCAACCTTTAACTACAGCTTGAAATATCAAATAAACCTAGGGTTTAATGCCAAAGTCGACATTGTCTAAATAACCACAAGAATGTCCTAAATAATAAAAAAAAGAAAAAGGTAAGTCATATAGTTTAATCCCACCCAACAATATTAACATTAAAATAGCGTGGCTGAAATATTTCTAATGTTTATTGATAAGCAATTCACTGAATGGCCTTTGAACTGAGTGTGTTTGGAAAGGAACTTTGTCTATGAAGCTAAGGCGCTTAGTTGTGGTGACACAAGATACTACGTAGGAGCTGCCGACGGTAAATGGAAAAGAAAATATGATAATTTTAAAATAAGTCTGAGCAACCGTAAATAGAAAGACAGTTCTACGCTGCCTAACTACTATTGGAACATCATTGGCAGAGGAAAGATGGCGCCTACCAACATATGGAAAGTACAGGACAAATGAGTCTGTGATGGCCGTAATTTGTACCCGAATGAAAAATAGAGATTAATAAGAATAATAGAAGCGAGCTTCTGTCAATATGTCTACCTAAGGACAAATGTTTAATTCGAAATACACATCTGGCTTAGAAGTTACCTGCCACCGAAAGAAATGATTGTTTGGTTCCGTATTTCTTCCTGATGATTGTTGTCAATTGAGTTGTGGATTTAATGTAAATACTATGTAAAAGATATAAATATCAGAGTATATCTGTAAGTTTTCAAAGAATCTTTCTCAAGATTCATAAAGTGAGCTACTTAAGGCGAATCCATCCTACATTGGCGATTTAAATTCTGTTTTCTATAAAATTTGTATCGTTAAATTCAAATGACGTATCCATATTTTATAATTTCGTATTCAGTAAATGTATGATTAATAACCTGCCGTTATATACCTTATAATCAATGAATTATATTCTTTATTATTTCTCTTTCTCATTCTTTCTCTCATATACTATACGGGCGCATGCGCATATATATATATATATATATATATATATATATATATATATATATATATATATATATATATATATGTAGAACGAAGCAATTATTAAGAAGGATTTTTCGAATAAATATTTCCTTTAACTGAATAAGGTTATTATTTGTCCATCGGAATCAGTAGCCAATTTTGCTTCCCAAATGCTCCACCATTCTTCAAGTAAATCTAATTAACAGCAATCAATGGATTCATTCATTTCTTACGACATATATAGAAACCGATAGAAATAAAAAAAACTATTAATTAGTCAATGTATTGTTTAGCAAAACGTTTTTCTTCATAAAAGCTTCATGGGAGCTTTCAACTTAATTATTTTTCGAAATGTCTTCCTAAAAATAGTTCAGTCGTAAAGTCGTATACACAAGAGAAAGGGTGAAATATTTGCAAATACAAACGAGTATTAGATATGAATGCTAAAATCGAAAGCATGAATGAGAAAGCAAAGAGAAGGAAATGTAGAAAGGAAAGTTAAACGCAGTCAGAAAAAGCAGACAGAAATCTTAAAAGAAAAAAACGCAAAAACCAATAATTAAGTTATAAAAAGGGAAATGAAACAGGGAACAAATAAAGTAAAAAGAGGAAAGGAATGGAGAAAGAATGATTAGAAAAAAAAGACAAAGAAGAAAAGAAAGAATTGAGGAACTGAAAAGAGAGAGAGAGAGAGAGTGAAGAGAATAAAATGAGAATGATAAATAAAGAAAAAGGATGGAAAGAAAAAAGAACCAAAAATAGAAAGAAACAAAGTATTGTCTTATTATCGGGGTCAGTATTTTACTATGATTGTTGCAGTTCAATAATATGTTACTTCAAATAATATAACTCCAGGGAATTGACAAATTGCCACTAAATCAATATAAGCAGCGCAGAAAATAAAACTTATGAAATACGCGGTTCTTTAAACAGATGGAATTAAAAAAGATTGCAGTAAATACCAGGGAAAAGGAGATGAGAAACGGCCAAGAGAAGGAAAAGTATAAAAGAAAGAAAAATTAAAATAAAAACGAAAGAATTAGAAAAAGAAAAAGCCAGAATGCCAGACAGGAAATCAAAATTAATTGAAATGAAAAATGTGTTACGGAAAATTTCTGAAAGAAAGAAAGAATGAAAGAAAGAAAGAAAGAAAGAAAGAAAGAAAGAAAGAAAGAAAGAAAGAAAGAATGAAAAGAAAGAAAGAAAGAAAGAAAGAAAGAAAGAAAGAAAGAAAGAAAGAAAGAATGAAAGAAAGAAAGTGAAAAAATTAGTGGTAAGAAGAATTAGGAAGGAGAGGAATAAAACTTAGAGTTCCTTGGATGAAATTAAGGAAGAGAAGATTTAAAAGAAATATATATGAAGAGTATTTTTATTACTAAATATTTTATAACTATTTTAAAAGTAATAAAAAACGGAAGGTTTTCTGAGAGCGATTGGTATCATAACAGTCTGATAAGTCAACTTTAAGAAAAATCTTGAAGAGTATATATTTATTGAACGAAGGCAACGTAGATAAAACTGATTAATTGGTCATCTAGGAAAAGTTTTACGAAAGTGATCAATAATATCGTTGCATTATGCTCATATATTTCTCTGGTGTCTCAGCCACAAACTATTTGTATTTATATATTTTATATTCTATTTAAATTCCCCACCTTTAGTAGCGAGATCGTGTTACATATGAATTCAGGGAGACGTGAACGTGAATCAGAATAGAAGATTAAGCATTGAGGACAAATGCAACAAATCTATGTTGTTTAAAAAGATTTTAATTTCCCAGTCAGTGTAACGCAAAATATAAGACACGTGAGTAAAAAAAAATCCTTTGTAATAAATGATCCAGCCCAGGAAATATTAGATTGCCAGAATCGAATTTGCTGTCAATAAGGAATTTTTGTTCTAACAGAGGTTGGTAACCCGAGTATGTACTTGTCTTACCCTTAAAGATACCAAAGTTTATTTTCCACTCAATTTCACCACAGCGCATCAAAGAAGTCAGATACCTGAAGAAGGCCGAAGGATACACCGGCCGAAATGTATAACAACTAAAATGAGCATGTTGAACAGAATAGTAAAGGAAATAGTAGTGATAAATTCTTTATCTAAAAATTTCGATAGAGGTTATTTTATTTATTTTATTTCCTTTGACAACAAGCGGCCTAAAGTTATAACATTTTCCACTGAGCGTTATTTGAGGAAAAATCAAAACAAAACAACAAAAAAAAAACTAAGATCAAGCATATTTTACAGAAATAAGGTTTCCTAAGGTGTAGGCTGTATTTGTGAGTACATAATTTGTATTTTTAAGATATGGGCTACCAGAAATCCCTTCAATCAGTTTATCAGAATCTTCTCCAATCTGTCCGAGCGCTCTAACCACAACTGGGATTATTGATGTCCTCATACGCCGCATTCAATGTCCTTCTATTTTTATATATTTTTGAAGATCTCCAAAGATACATTACTGTCTGCAGGTATTATTATTATTATTATTATTATTATTATTATTGTTGTTGTTGTTGTTGTTGTTATTATTATAAAACAAAAGTATTTAACTTAACATTATATGATTTCTACAGTTCTAAGTTGAGTACATTTGTGTACGAAATACAAGTGTAGTATTTGATCCATATCAGGAAATATCACATGGTCTGTACTGAATTTAATGTCAGTAAGAAATATTTGTTCTTAGAGTTGATCTGTGATGACCCAAGTACTTAATTGGCTCACCCGTAGAGATATAAAAGTATACATTGCACTCAGTATCTTTACACTAGATGCATCAACGGGTTGACAAGGAAAGTGACCTCAAACGTACCAGGTGCAGATTTCCATCATACAGGATGGTAGTGGCTGCCCGCGTGAATGTGAACATTTGGTCTGCATATTTACGCCTAATATGTGCCCACTTTGAAAAAACTGAATGACAGCTAGTTATATAAGCGACTCGCCCGGGAGGGAAAATAAAGATTACCTCTCAACATCCGCGCCAGAAGAAAACCCCCCGCTTCCCATCAAAGACACACACCATCAGTTCGATATTAATTGATGAATTTTAAGGTGAATATACAAAGCATTTATTTATGGGAGATTTGATTCCTAGTCTTTCTTAGTCTTTACAATAATATACACGACCAATCTCTTGATAAGCATGATCTTAATTCTTTAATCAGCGTAACGTTGTACAGGTAAAAGTCACACAAGCATAAAAAACAAACTTCGGGCAACAATTTCAAATTTTATCTTTTAAGATGGCAAAAATCTTAAACGGATTAATTCGTAGTGCACTGCTTATTTGAAATACGAACAGTCTTATTAATGACCAGAGCAAGCGGAAACAATTGGTCAAGAGAATAGAGAGAAAATGTTTTACTAACGCTGCAAAAAAATAATAAATGCATATGTTTTGTCTTATTGGATTGTCGATTTCGACAGTCGTTTCTTGTGCGATAGGAAAATGTTATTTTTGGTGATGAAGATTGAAGATGCTGGAGGGTGAAAATGTGAGTCGGGGATGGAAAAGAAGTAATGGAAATTATCAGCGAGACATAAAGAAAATTAGGAAGGAAGCTGAGAAACACCAGCTGGATATATAATGTAAGACTAAAATGATACACAAATAGTTATTTTATGTATGCCCATACAGACGTATATAGGATTGTCTGTAAGGATGTATGCACAGATGTAAATATAGAGAGATAAATAAGATGCCAGTTAAATAGTGTGACTAACAGAGATGATAGAAATTACCCAAAATATTTTAATAATATTTATATATAGACTAAAATAGATTCTTTTTATCAATATATATATATATATATATATATATATATATATATATATAGATAGATAGATAGATAGATAGATACCAGGTAAAGGATTCATAGATATTTCAAATTGGGCAGTGTTAAATATGAATACACCATTAGAGGTTTAGATATCCATGAACAGATACACACGCACACGCACACGCACACGCACATATATACATAAATATACATATATATATATATATATATATATATATATATATATATATATATATATATATATATATATATATATATATATATATGAGAGATAAAGAACAAATAGGCTACTTTTATATATAAACTTTTCGCTTTAAGTTTATGTTTTCTTATTTGTTCCTTATTCTAGCTGTTCTGTTGGGCTTCAATCCATATTTGATCCCAAATCATGTATATATCTGAGACAATGATATATATTTTTATATATCAAGAACGATATTGGGGAAAATGACAAAAACGTAAAAGTTTTCTTATGACGCATTTCCTCTTTTAGGACTTCATCGGACTTAATTCGTTAAATTGGAGCGACTACACATGCGCAGAAAAAAATATTTAAATTCCCAGCATCCCTCGTTCGTGGGTATGTCGACTCGCACCAATATAACAAATTTAGTCCTAAAGGAGGAAACGCCTCACAAGAAAAAACTTTTACACTTTGGCATACAATATTTTCTATATATATATATATATATATATATATATATATATATATATATATTGTTTTTATTTAGTCAGCAATCCTTCATTTAATTTATGCTTGTTTCATTATACTTTCGGTTATACTTGTAGCCATTTTCAAGGATGATTTTATTTTTTCAGTTTAATTGAGTGACCGCCTTAAGTGTATGTTTTTTGTGTGTTATAGAGCTCTGCCTATCCAGACGCCTTACGTTACACCTATTTGACCACAGCTCTATTAGAACCCATTTAAACACACACTAAAACTTAATAGACTCCATCCGAAATATACTCGTAGAAAACACAAACATAATAACCTCATCCACTTGTAAAAACGATTAAAAATAATGGAAACCCTAATAATAAAAAACAAAGAAACCAACTCTTAACAATATTAACTACGAACTAGGGACACAATGTGCTAACCCTTTTCGGAAAATAAAACATCTCTATAACACACTAAAACATACACATAACGCACAACACCCGATTAAACTGAAAAAAGGTCATCCTTGATAATGGCTAAAAGTATAGCCGGAAGCGCTCAAAACTATAGAACATTTGAATAGTTTCTACACACTCTGTGTTTAAAAGAAAAAGCTCTTGTTCGAACACAAGAAAAATGAAATAAAAAATTAACCGCAGTAACTTATCTCTCGTTTTTAATGAAACATACATTATATATATAATATATATATGTGTGTTTGTGTGTCTTTGTGTTTGTATGTGTGTCTGTGTATGCTTGATAGTAGGATGAAAAGCTACAAACAGATTCGTCTATTATTCTGAACTGAGCGCCGCTATTTAACGCGCGAACGAAGGCAAAATGTGTGTTCAATAAAAATGTTTTCCACTTTGCCCGTTTTCTCTATACACAATGACCTACCAACACACACATACACACACTTAATATAGAGTTTTTCTTTTGTCTGTAGTCATATTATACTTTTACAGATATATTTTTTACTTATATCAGAAATATATATAATTATATTTTAATTATATCTGAAATTTAGCACATACACACTCACGTCGACTAAGATAGGTTTTCTATTTGTCTTTACTCATATTGTCCTTTTACATACATGTATATATATTAATTTTATATAAATTTTACACACACACGCACACACACACACACACACACATATATATATATATATATATATATATATATATATATATATAATTGTGTATTTGAGCAGCAATACGTCTTTTATACAACGTTCATTAAAATGAAGAGTGTATAAAACAGGGATTGCTATCCAAATACACAATTATTAAATTACATGATCCGGCAACCAACAAGGAAAGTAAAAGTACAACATTCAGAAAAAATTGTTTTACCATTGTCAATATGTGTTGTGGAAACGCTTATGTATATACAGGTTGGTTCGAAAGACTTGTCACCCGCTACCAAAAAGTAATGAGAACAATAGAACAACAGGTAATATAATAATACAAAGCACATGTACAAGATTCAGTTTATTCATTTTCATTGACGCTTTCAAACATTGAAGTCTGTATTAATCTTATCATATTCATGCACGAGCTCGTGTCAGCGATCTGAAATAGAAAATTGTTACATCGGGGTGAAAAGACTTTCGGACCAACCTGTGTGTGTCTATATATATATATATATATATATATGTGTGGCCTGACGATTGCATCTAGCATGAAACAGACTGTCGCCTCTAAGTGTTGACTTCTATGTTCATGCAATGTTGATTGTCATGGCCACACTGCTTACATCTATAAATGCCTTATCTCTAATAATGAATAAAATAAAATAAATACCATCATATATAAAGATTAAT